GTTGTGAAGCTGGCACACCAACCCCATGGAAAGAGCTCCGCATGACAGGAACTGATCTGGCCACGGTGGTAAAGGAATGCACGGATGCTGAGGGGCCTAGAGAATTCCCAGTACTTGGGTTGACCAAGAAGGCTATGTGGAGGCAGCTGTCAGAACAGGCCAGAGGTGCGCCAAAATGAGAGTGCCTGCGTGACACGTGTGAGGCCCTGGGTTGGACTCCAACGCCGTAAGAGGGGCTACCAGAAGCCAAGGACAAAGGAATCATCCTGCAGGCCTAAAAAACATGAGAATTCTGGGCAGTGCTGGCGCACGCCTTTAATCCCAGCACTGAGGAGACAGAGGCAGGCGGATGTTCATGAGTTCCAGGCCAGCCTGGTCTACAGGGTGAGTTCCAGAAAAGGCTCCAAAGCTAACAAAGAAACCCTGTCTCGAAAAACAAAACAAAAAGAAAAAAGAAATGTCAGAACACAGTAAATTTAGAAATGCACCGTGGTGAAGATTGGCATGGGGGCACATGATAATCACACAGGCAAGGGATGAGCTTGAAGACAGGCTGGGCCAGGTCATTCCAGGTTCTTTCCCCAGACCCTGAGTACCGCTGTAGTAGCACACTTGTTGAACATGAATCATGAGGCCCTTGGTCCAATCTCCAGTACAGCAAAAATTATCTTGCTATATTTTAGCACTTTTTTTTTGACATTTTGAGATGGGATCTCATGTCACCCTGGCTGGCCTGAAACTCAAAGTGTTGGAATTACAGACCACCATGCTTGGCTGGGTTTTCTTCCAGTTTAAAGGGAACTGTTCAGTTAAGTATATATAATTCTGATGAAACCATCATGGAAAAGAAAGTAGGAGAAAAAGAACTGAAAAGTGGTTAGGCTGGATATAGCGAACATAGTCCCCTCACGATGAGACCCTGAGACAGAAGGAATCCTGAAGAGGCTTGATGACCCTGTGAGGAGAACTGGTTGGTGATGGAGGAGGGAGGGCAGAGTTAAGGGCAGTGGTCAGAAGAGGCTGTGTCATCTCCTCAACTGGAGGTTACAAATGGCTGAGCCTCATGTTGGTGCTGGGAACTGAACCCCGGTTCTTTGGAAAAGCACCAGTGTCATGCTTACAATGGGTGCCCAGAAAGAGGAGCAGATCCAATAGGGAAGATGACTTGGTTTTCAGTTCATAATGGAAGCCATTTAGAAGTTCCTGTGGGGAGCAGATAAAAGTTCTGAGTGTGTATCCTTTGACACGAGCACAGCCATGACAAGGATCCCAATGCCTCAGACTCATGGGAATGGCAAAGCCTTCCCCAGGTCAGGCTCAAGGACCTGATAGACTTCCCTTGATCCAATGCGAACGTTGAGCATGTGCAGAAAGTACTGACCGTTGCTTCCTCCTCCAGGATGACTGCAGTAGGAGACTGCTCCCCATAGAGAAATCCCTCCTGGGCTTCTTGGCAAGGAGAGAAGAGAAATGGCATTTGAAATACATCTGGAGCATTTCACTCTTTTTATCATTATTATTATTATTGAGACAGTGTTTCTCTGTGCAACAGCTCTGGCTGTCCTGGAGCCAGCTCTGTAGATCAGGCTGGTATTGCACTCAGAGAAATCCTCCTGCCTCTGCCTCTGAAGTGGTAGTACTAAGGGTATACACCATCACTCTCAGCTCCATTCTACTGCTTTGTCTGTTGGCTTTTGAGACAGGGTTTCTCTGTGTAGTCCTGGCTTTCCTGGAACTCCCTTTGTGGAGGAAGCGGGCCTTGCACTCAGGAGTTCTGAGCTGGGATTAGAGGTTTGTGCCACAGGGCTCTAACTCAACAGTGACTAACTCCAGGGGTGGAGAGACTGCTCACTGCTTAAGAGGACTGGGGTTCGGTTCCCAGCACCAACACGGCGGCTCAGCCATTTGTAACCTCCAGCTCAGGAGATGACACACCCTCTTCCGGCCTCTGCAGACACCAGGCTCACACTTGGTGCACAGCCCACAGGGAAGCAAAGCACTCACACACATACAGCAACGAAGAGTGCCTAGGCTCTCATCTGGCTGACCACCACTGAGCGTGAAGAAACAACCGTCAGTGGAAATAGCCAAAGCTAGGGCTCAGGATGCAGCTCAGGCGGGTGAATACACACCAGCATGCACCACACAAACCAAGAGTGGTGGTGGACACCTGGAATCTCAGTACTTGGAGGCAGGATCAGGAGTTCAAGGACATCCTTGGCTACATATAGCAAGTTTGAGGCTACTCGGAGATATAGATAAGAGTTTGTCTTAGAAAGCTAAAACGCTAGCTAGGCAGTGGTGGTGCATGCCTTGAATCCCAGCACAGGCAGATGGATCTCTGAGTTCCAGGCCAGCCTGGTCTACAGAGAAATCCTGTCTGGACAAAAAAAGCTAAAATGTTTCCAAAATGAAATGCAAACAAACAAAAGTGAAAAAGATACAACACTCAGGAAGTGTAGACTACACAAGTATAGCATCCTATTGCGGGATGCTGTCCTCAGCTATTGCCATTTGAACCAAGGTGGCTTATCATAAGCGCCATCGGGATGGCTGTTCACATTCCTGAGACCCTCACCCGAGAGTCCGGCCACTCTCGCCTGTGCCCCCTCCCAGCTGCGCGTAATTCTGCCCCAGCTGCAGGTGGTCTTTGGAGATGATAGTATAGAGCATGGAAGGTTAACTGAAGAGACTTCCATTTACACAGCTTTGAAGAAGCTTTCAATCATGCCAGGATGAGTCTTTTTGGTGACATGCTGTTTGGGGGTCACCTACACTCCAGAGAGTAAGTACCCAGTGGTTCACCAAACTAGACTCCGGATAGAATTTGGTCTGGGATAAACAGATGTTGTTTCATCTCCCCAGGAAAAGCTCATGTAGCACAATGAGAGCAGATGAGGAAGAAACGTTTGAAGCAATGACTTAGCATTATCCAAAAATAATGATATAAGCACAGATCCAGAAAACTCAGAATAGCAAGCAGAACAAATGCTAACACAAACAGCTAAATGATACTCAGACTACACATACACACACAATCAAAGACAAAAAAAGTACTGAGCTGGGCGTTGGTGGAGCATGCCTTTAGTCCCAGCCCTCGGAAGACAGAGGCAGGCCGACCTCTGTGAGTTCGAGGCCAACCTGGTCTACAGAGTGAGTTCCAGGACAGCCAAGGCTACACTGAGAAAAACCTGTCTCAGAAAACCAAAATACATAAATAAATAAATAACAAATAAATATATAGATAGATACTGAGACAAGCAATAAGTAGAGGATAAAAAGGTTAAGAATTAATTTAACCCATACATAAAATAAAAACAAATTAAAAATGAAATTAAGGGAGGCTGGAGAGATGGCTCAGCAGTTAAGAGCATGGGCTGCTCTTCCAGAGGACCCAGGTTCAATTCCCAGCACCCACAAGGCAGCTCACAACTGTCTGTAACTCCAGTTCTAGGGGATCCACTCACACACAGACATACATGTAGGCAAAACAACAATGCACACAAAACCAAAGTAAATAACTTAAAAACAGAACTACATCAAGGGGCTGGAGGGATAGCTCAGCAGTTAAGACCAGCACTGACTGGTCTGACAGAGGACAGAGTTTAGTTGCAAGCACCCAACGGTGGCTCACGGCCACCTGTGTCTCCACTCCTGCGTGGTCACTGCACTATGTGGTGCCCAGACATACATTCAAACACAACACTGGCACACATTAAAGAAAAAACCAAAAGAAAGACTTAAATTAGTATATACTAATTTTAAAAAGGAAATTAGTTTCTCAGGCTTAAAAACAATGGATAATTAGAATGGACTTCCACTCATAACCATGCAAGCCACAAGGGAGGAGACTGAAAAAAGCCCACCAACCTATGTTTGGAAATTCTCTTCCAGTGAGAAATACTTTCTGAAACAATAATCAAGGAAATGTGTCACCAGTAGAGCTGCTGGCAAGATGGTAGAACTTTTTTTCAAAGGCCAGGAAGGCTATGTAGCACTGTTGGCCTTTGATTCCTTGCAGTCTGACAGACCTCATTTCCCTCATGCTGGGGCTTATAAGGTGTGAGCCATCATACATACCCTGTGAGAAAATTCTTAAGAAAAACATGGCACTGGAGAGATGCCTCAGTGGTTAAGAGCACCGGTTGCTCTTCCAGGGGTCCTGAGTTCAATTCCCAGCACCCACATGGTAGCTCACATCCATCCACAATTTAATCTGGTGCCCTCTTCTGGCATGCAGGCAGAACACTGTATATGTGATAAATAAATCTTAAAAGAAAAAAAAAAAGGAAAGAAAGAAAGAAAGAAAAACCAAGAGTCGGGCAGTGGTGGCGCACGCCTTTAATCCCAGCACTCCGGCAGAGGCAGGTGGATCTCTGTGAGTTCAAGACCAACCTGGTCAACAAAAAAGCTAGTTCCAGGACAGCCTCCAAAGCCACAGAGAAACTCTGTCTCGGGAAAAAAAAGAGAAAGATATCATAATCTCAGATTTGCACAAAAATGACAGAAAAAGGTGGAGAAGAATCAACTACAACTTTAATGTCCAATGTGTACTTTGGTACGAGTCTGGCTATGCTCAGAACAGTGATCCGAAGGATGGGGGCGACGTGTGAGCCTTGAGTGCAGGAATGGAAGAACCCATCCCAAGAATGGCGGGGTTCCTAAAATGCCTGTAAGGTGGGCAGGGCAGGTAATGAATTCAATCCACAAAGTAGGAGTGCGCACGGTGGTGTCCTGTCTTCGAGGGTGGCAGTAAGAGGCACCAGGAACTACAAGGAGACAGAGAAGTAAAACAATCAATTCACTAAGGGGCTCAATCGAGTTAACTTTAAATAATCGAAAGTACACGAAACAGTCAAGATGTGGCACAGAAAAGCACAAGACGGCTGTAACCCCACCGGTGGTGCAGGGAAACCCTGGCTCACAGCGTTTGCGGGTTGGCGGCGGGGGGGGTCGCGGCGGGTGGGCGAGCACTCCGCGGTGGGCGGAGCCATTCCCCAGCCCTGTATTTGGTTTTTTAAACGCGAGCGCCCTCTTCTGTTTCGCCAGAGGAGCGGCCGAATTCTTTCTGGGAGCGGATGTGGTCCAGGAAAGGCTTCGCGGGTGCTGGTTCAGGCAGCCGGGTGTACGGAACCCCGCTCCAAAGCGTGAAGAGGGAGAGCGGTGCGGGGGGCAGCCTCCGTTTGCAGGCCTGGGGTCCTCGCTGACGTCACAGGTCTCTTCCGAGGCGGGAAAGCGGCGCGCTCAGTCGGAAGTGACGCACTCGCGCGTTCGGCAAAGTGGCGGCGTTTTAAGCTTAGCGGTCTGGGTCGCCTCGTACTCCTAATCACCGCGTGGGAGGAGACTCCAGAACTCTGGTGCTTTGCCGAAGGGATTGCCGGAGGGATCCAAGGCAGTCCGCCGACCTTCCGGTGCAGACGAGACAGCCGAAGCTCGGCCCGCAGAGACGCCGGGAAGCCCGGGCCGGGCGAGAGGGGCGTAGGGGGAAGGGGCCCGCGGGCCATGGCTCCACCTCCCGGGGTGGGGCCCGCGTCCCTGCGCTTTGTAGCTGCCGCCTGCTGGCAGGTCGTCCGCCAGCGCCGCGTGGAGCACTTCCCCAAAGTGTTAGAGTTTCTGCAGTCCCTGCGCGCTGCTGTCCCCGGCTTGGTTTGCTACCGACACCACGAACGCCTGTGCATGGGCCTAAAGGCCAAGGTACTGGGAAGAGTAGAGCCTGAAGGGGCGGGATGCGAGGACCTGAGGAAGGCCGACCGGTCGGGATTCAGACCTGTGGGAATTCTAAACTCAGTACCTTGCAGGTGGTGGTGGAGTTGATCCTGCAGGACCGACCCTGGGCCCAGGTCCTGAGTGCCCTGAGTCATCACTTCCCAGAGTCGAGACCAGTACCGCTGGCTCCTGAAGCCGTGAGTAAACCCTGATGCAAACAAGTTGCCCCTCGGTCCTGGTGACACCCCATCCCCCTAATTTCTCTGTCTTCCACCACGTCAACAGAAAAAGCAAGACAGGAAGATTTTGGAGGCGCGGGAAAATTTTTGTCTGCTTGTGAAACAGCTGTCGGAGGCTGAGGATTTGACTTCAAGCCTGCAGGTGAGGATGGTTTGGAGGATGTTATGTGATTCCTGCTTTTTCTTTTTCTTTTTTTTTTTCCTGGTTTTTTGAGACAGGGTTTCTCTGTGGCTTTGGAGGCTGTCCTGGAACTCACTTTGTAGACCAGACTGGCCTCGAACTCACAGAGATCCGCCTGCCTCTGCCTCCCGAGTGCTGGGAGATCCCTGCTTTTTCTAAAACTCATCTGGCCGGCTTCTCTTTCCCACATATAGGAACTCGAACAAGACTATGGGGAATGCTTTCTGGTTGCCATGGAAAAGTTGCTGTTTGAGTACTTGTGTCAGCTAGAAAAGGCACTGCCCTCCGTCAAAGCTCAAGAGGTTGTTGAGACAAAGCAATTCGGGGCAGAATGGGGAGGTGGCCTTACAGGGAGCTGTGACCCTCATGTCTGTCACCTTGCCCACAGCTTCAGGGTGTTCTAAGTTGGATTCAGCCTGGCTGCTTTGTCACCAAGTCTGCTGCTTTGCGCCAGTATGGTATGGACATGGGATGGCCATTTCCAGGTAAGAGAACCGTCAGGAAAGCTAGGAATTTGGAGGTTAGTATTTAGCTTGACCAAACCTGAGTCAGCCAATTAGAAACTATGTGGACCTGAGACACACATCTGATTGTGTTAGCCTATTTCTAATTGTGTGAGGCATCTTAAATTTTATCTTTCAGAGAGCTCTGCTTCTGGCTCAGCGAACCTGCCAGAACCCACGGAACAGAGTCCTCATGGGCAAACGAAACCAGCACTCCACAGTCCTCTGCTTAAAGCTAAGCTTGGCCTTCACCCACCCGCTTCCCGGGAACACTCCGAACATGTAGCTGGCAGCCACTTTAATCTGGCCCCTCTGGGACAGCGAAAATCCCGATCACAGTGGACATCTGCAAAGGGGTGCCACAAAGAGCGGCCCACAGTCATGCTGTTCCCCTTCAGGAACATGGACTTACCAGCCCCAAGTATATCTACCCCTAAAAGCCGGGGAGAGCATGGACTGGACACAGCAGGTTCTGTGGGTACCAAAACAGTCTCCACAGGGCAGTCTAAAACGCCATCTCTGACCCTCGGGAAAAGGACTCCAGAGGAGGGCCCACCTGACTCAGATGCTGCAGAGCAAAAGGAGTAAGACGCGCTTCTTCTGTAGGAGCACATTCCTTGTCTCCTTCCCCTCTTCACCCTGCTTTCCCCTTGTTTCCACCTCAGGGACTCTGTGACCTGCTACATGGATCCTCTGAGACTCTCATTGTCGCCTCCCAGAGCCAAGAAACCAGGTAAGTGGGCAGGGTGGGACTGGCCCAGACGGCCTTCCTTGGAATTTCCAGGGCCTGTATTCACCTAAAGGAATGGCTTCTTTCCTGCAGTGCAGTCCCCATCTCTGGGTAGCTCTGTCATTACCATAGGGGACTTGGTTCTGGACTCGGACGAGGAAGAAAACCAGAAGGAAGGAGAGGTGAGTAGGAAGGAGCAGAAGGCTGAGGCGGGGGTGGGGGGGGCAGAGAGAGGCAGAGATCCATGCTGGGTCCCAGTGATAGGAACTCTGCTTCCTTCTCTGTAGGAGTCTCTGAAAAACTATCAGAAGACAAAGTTTGACACCTTTATCCCCATGTTTTGTGACTACTTGCCTGAGTCCTGCCTATCCCCTCCTGGCACGATAACCAGCTCTAGGGTCCTGTAATGGTTCTGGAATGTCCTTTGCACTCTCCATCTACCCCTGCAGCTCTGCATGTAGTTTTGTGGGAATGAAGAGGAAACCCAGGCCTCAGTTGCCTGACTACATTGCTAAAGCTTTGTAACGCCTGAAAATTAAAACTTGAATGTGTTCACAGTCTTGATGGGAAAGAGAATTAAGACTTAGGTCTGTGTCGTGCCTCAGGAACACAGCTGGCTTCTCTAGAGCTGGTTGAAGACGTTCCCATATTTACTTCCTTTGTAAAGGGTCATTCAGATTTATCTAGAAGGGTTACCAGGGTTGAGAGAGCCTGGCAATCATTAATGTTATTCTAACAGCATTCCCTAATGCTGGAATATATTTTGTAAATGTTCATGCTACTAAGTTGTCTTGGGCTGGTGACACTAAGATGTAGATGCTTCATGAGAATGACTTGCATTGTTATTGATCCAGGGTTAATCCCATCTCTGCCCAGGAGGGGAGGAATGTCTAGAAGCCAACCTGTACAGATAACCCAGCATCTTTTTACCATCAATAGGATCTGTTTTCATTAATGTTATTTCAAATATTTAAGTACTTCTAAGCTGTTTAATAATTTGATGATTTTATTTAATGAAGCTGATTAACATGATTCCAAAAGCCTTCTTTTTCCAGACCAAGGCCTGTCATTTATGTATCAATCAGCATCTTTTTCCTCCTAATCGTCAGGATGCTGTCCCCAGATTCCCATTTGTTGATCTCATGTCGTCTTCCTTGCTCTTCCCCAGTGAGTGCCCTTAGCATTTGTATGTGCAGAAAGCATAAGCACTCAGGAGTGAGATGATAGGAACTGAATTGAGTAACACACACAGCCACAGTAGCTGGGATGGGTGAGAAGCCCCTTTGGAAGGAAGGCCCCATGCTAGAGTTGCTGTCTTGGGAAGGTAGACTTCTCAGGGTTATCAGGAATCGCTGAAGATTGGATTCACTTGCTGGGTGACTCGGATAAAGGTAGTTCTCCGACTTAGTTCCTTCAGCTTAGCAGCCCCTACATATGTGCATGTGGACCGGATGCCTCCTAGGATGTCACGGATAGTATGTTCCACATCCCCTTTAAAGGGAACTTCTACCGTCTTTCCCTCTGAGGCCCTTGGAAAAGAAAAACTTTTATTACCTACTTATTCAGAATGCCTTAAGTCCAGTGGCTCTTCCTGTCTCTAACATTTATAAACCTTTTACTGTTTTTCTCCCAAGAATGGCACCCTACATTTCCCAGGAGGCATGACACCATCTCCCTTAGTCACGTTCTCCAAGAACACTCATGTGCTAGCCTTCCATACATACCTGTACTCAGCCACGCCTCCTGCATACTTCTTCATGGCCATTTCGGAGCTCATTCCGTAGAAGAGCTTGTACTTCTTGCCATCCCTCTCAATGAGTTCGCCGCCTGATTCACTGTGTCCCGCCAGCATGCCACCCAGCATCACAAAGTCTGCCCCTGCCCCTGCCAAAGTCAAGATACCCACAAAGCCACCTTAGTCTCAGTTCTAGGAACTGCATCTTGGGTCTGTTTGCCTAGCTGATCCACAATTCCTTGGGGCTGCTCTGCTCCAAAACCCAGAAGTCCCCTGACTGAAACCTTTCTGCTTTCCTGTCTTCTGGTGATTTCATTTTACTGCTTCCCAGTTGAGTGTGACTTTAGTCCCAACAGGATAGGTCTCCAATTTTAAGGATCACCTGGGAAACAGAAAAATGAAGATTTGCAGCGTGGTTCCTCAGGGTGATCTTGTGGGTTGGGTTTAGGGTTCACAAATCTACATGGTCCAACAGTCTAGGGGAGAGCATAGGTGGCCCTTGCTCAAGCTTGGGAGTCAGAACTCTAGGATTTCCTCTGCTGGCCTGTCTGTCACTCGTGGCACTTTAGGTTTCAGGGTCACTGGTTCGTATTATGAATCTGAATAGCTTCCTGAGCTGCTTCTAGCCCGACCCTAGATCCTCAGAGGCAACTTACAGGGTCCTCCTGTGCTCTCCCAGCCTCCTTACCAAAAGCCTTTGCCACATCCCCAGGACAGCTGCAGCCTCCATCCTACAAAATAACAAACACAGTGAGAGACAGCATGGACTCCTCGCGGCTTCACAACTGCCCATGTCCAAATGGACACAAATTCAGCTCCTGACCAGGACTTTACTGGAGCCCCATGCTACAGAAAACACAGCTGCTAGGCAGCCTTGCATCCTCCCCAGCCCTCTGGTCTTACTGAAATGATATGGCCTCTGAGGCCATGAGCAGCGTCTGCACACTCCATCACTGCACTGAGCTGTGGGTACCCCACGCCAGTTTTCTTCCGAGTTGTACAAACAGAGCCTGGGAAGAACATGACGGTGAGAAGTGTTCTTCGGTTACATACCCCATAAGACAGTGGCTGCAGGGAACCAGCTTACCAGGGCCAATTCCCACTTTGATGATGTCAGCCCCGGAGAGGATTAGCTCTTCTACCATCTCTCCTGTTACCACATTTCCTGCCTGAGACACAAAACAGCATCCTTAGGGTCAGCTGCGGAGAAGGCCTTTGTGCTCTCACGTAACATGCTCTTGAGGGACCATCCTATTGCAAATGAGAGGTACCTAGAACCCCGATACATGACCCACCGCCAACTGCAAAGGACCTAGATTCCCACTCAACCTGCAACCCCACACTCCCACTTCCACTAGGTATGAAGGACACAGGGAACTGGCCAGTGTGTCCTTGAACTAGGGCAAAGAGGTCCAGGATGACCTTTAAGGCAGCAAGGCAGACCAACAAGAGACAAGTGGCATTAGCTTTCGGTGATGCAGGGAAATCCCACTGAGGTCTGACAGTGATCCCCTTTCACTGCCAGGTCACTGCCCAGTCCTGAAGCTCTGCCTTCAGAGGAAACGGGAAGAGTCCATCTGCCCAGCTGTGCCTGGACAGTGCAGGCATTCCCTGCAACGCTGTGAAGAAAATGAAGCCTTGGGTTTTGTCTTTAATAGGCCTCCAAAAAATGAGTAAATAAAGCAAGGTTTTATGTGGTACTTTTTGCTGTTAATTTGAGACAAAACTTTAACTCCTGCCTCTAAAGTACTGGGATTATAACTGTCACAATGCCAGGCTTTCATATAACACTGTGGCACATGTCCATTTTAGTAGGCAAGATGTACATGTACCACAGGTATAAGCAATGTATAAATGTTCTACCATGGGGGTTAACATTACAAAGATAGAGTTTTTCTATGTAGCCTAGATGTCCTTGAACTCACTCTTTAGTCCAGGCTGGCTTCAACTCAAATCCACCTGCCTCTGCTTTTCAAGGTATGCACCACCACGCCCAATTCCATGCTTTTTAAGTGAAGTCAGAGTCACTGGGTAGATGGACTACGAAGGGTCAGAGATGTTGCACTGATTAAGACACATCTAAAACTTTGAACCATGACAACATAGATGAAATATGATGCAGCAGAGGACATATACTGATAGGACAAAATGGAATGTCACGAAGACCATAGAACCATGCCTAGCTGAGTGTGGTGGCACATTTAATCCCAGCCCTGGGAAAGCAGGCAGATTTGAGTTTGAAGCCAGCCTGGTCTACAGAATGAGTTCCAGCGCTGGGCATTAATAGTGCACACCTTTGATCCCAGTACTCGGGAGGCAGAGGCAGGTGGATCTCTGAGTTCGAGGCCACCCTGGTCTACAGAGCGAGTTCCAGGACAGTCTCCAAAACAATACAGAAAAACCCTGTCTTGGAAAAAAAAAAAACGAGTTCCAGGATGGCCAACGTAAAATACACACACACACACACACACACACACACACACACACACACACACACACACACGCTCGCTCGCAAAACGAAGCACATACCATGATGGTGTGTTGGGGGAAGCGTTTCCGTACATCCTTTACAAATTCAACAAAATGTTCAGAGTAGCCATTAGCCACATCCAAGCATATATGTTTTACTTGGGGAATAGCTTCCAGGATCTGTTCGAGCTGCTCAAAGTCAGCAGAGCCTGTGCCAGAGCTGACGGCTAGATGCTGTAGAGAAAGCATTAGATCAGCCTGTGGCATTGAGTTAGAAGTGACCTATCCGGTAAGCAGTCAATAGGGACTACCAGTGGGGGCTGATTTCTAAGAGCAGGGTAGACCCTGAGTTACCTCAAGGCAGTCAGGATTCTGGCTGGCAAACTCTTGCCACTGAAGGATGCTGTAGTGCTTATGGACGGCAGTGAAAAGGGAGAACTGGAGAGAAGAAAGAATCATCAGGGTAAAAACTTCATTAGACTATTTCTAGATATATCTTTATGCTATACTGAGAGAGGAAATGATGTATTTGAGAAATAGTATAAAGAAGTTCATGATTGAGCTGATTCAACCACTATTCTGCCTATAAATTCCAGTATAGCTTTTTATCCTAAATTAGTACTTGTCAAGTATTCCTATCAAAGTACTGTGATCTGGGTTGGATTTAACTTGTTAGTACATACATTGCTTGGACCTAAAAAGTGACAGGAACACATTGCTGGTACAGCAGGACAAGTAGTAGGCATGGAAAAACTATGAAGAGGCTAGATGGAGTTAATGTTTGTCTACACTTAGCTCTAAGGCGATTCAATACTAAAATAATCTATATTTTTCTCTTGTCTGGTTTACTTGCTGGCAGTAATCTAGTCCTAGATACATACAAAGTGAAAGGCTAAAGACTAATGGAGAAACAATACTATTCCATACATTCTCTTTTCTGCTGGAATAAAGGACAGATTTTCATGTTAGGGACATCAACTTCATCTATCTTAAATTCAAAAATACAATGACTTGCTGGATGGTGGAGTCACACACCTTTAGTCCCAGCACTCAGACAGAAGCAGGCAGATCTTTGAGTTCAACAGCCAGGGCTACAGAGAAACCATATCTCAGAAAAACAAAAATAAAAAACCAGCAACCACAACAACAAAAAAGGCCCATCAGGCTCAAAACCTCAGGCTCATGAAACTGCAAACAACATCCCCTGAGAAAGGCATTCAGAAGACACCGAATGCTGGGCGTTTGTGCTTAAAATATGCACAGACATACAGCCAGACAAGAGTCAGCAGTTGGTTGAAATCTTGCAAGTGATGAGAAACCCAAGGATGTCATGTATCAGCCAGCAACAGGAAGTTCTATGCTTAAACACTGGTGTTCTGCTTTCTTAGTAACACTCAACTGTCAACAAGATGATAAACAAGAGATCTAGGGAGTCAGCAGATCTTGGAGATATTTGGCCGAATAAACACACCCAACATACAACAACCCTAAGAAAAAGTTGGCTTGTAGCTAACCTTTTTATCATTACTGAGACTTAGCTATTTTACTAAAATTTAATTTTTTGTTTGTTTTTCAAGACAGGGTTTCTCTCTAACAGCTCTGAATGTCCTTGATTTGTAGACCAGTCTGACCTCAAACTCAGAGATCTGACTCCTGAGTGCTGGGATTAAAGGTGTGGCTAAAATTTTATTTCTGTAGCACTTATGTGCAGTATTGAAATCCAGTCTCCAATAAGGTCTTTTAACAGACCTACCATTCCCCAAATCTATCTGTCAGAGAAGGCAGACAACAGCAGGATTCCTGAACAATTAGTAAATGGTGACAGGAATAAAGTAATAAAACTCCGTAATTATCAATCTCAGAGAAAGCACAAGAAATAGTCTACAAAAACAGAAAAATCAAAGTCCTTAGGCTACCAGCCACAAACAGAAACAACCCACCAACTAGGGCTACATGGGTTGACTAGCAAAGCCCATTATGTTCTACAAGTGCCCAGGCAACTATCTACTTCTCAGCTACATGCATAGAGGCAAGCAACGTTACTGACAGGAGCAGTGTCTTCCATTTTCAAAGGGAACAACCTGTATTTAAGAAAAAACTTCCATTTGGGGTACATCTCAGAAACTCCCAGGAACCTAGGACCTAAAGAAGGGGAAAATTAAAAGAATAGTAGGCACACAAGATAACTAATAAGCTCCTTTTCTCTAGGATATTCCAAGTAGGAATTTTAAATATTTCAAAACAGTATTTTGTTTCTGAACTAAATAGTGAATGTTCAATGTTCAAAACAATGGCAAAGCCGGGCAATGGTGGCTCACGCCTTTAATCCCAGCACTCGGGAGGCAGAGGCAGGCAGATCTCTGTGAGTTTGAGACCAGCCTGGTCTACAAAGCTAGTTCCAGGACAGCCTCCAAAGCCACAGAGAAACCCTGTCTCAAAAAAAGCAAAAAAAAAAAAAAAAAAAAAAAAAAAAGGCAAACTGTCTGGGCCCTCCCCCAAATGATATGATGGACTTTGATGATCCCCCATGGAGGGTCTCACTGTCCCTGGGGAGCGGGTGGTGGGTGGGTTTGGGGGTCGGTGGGAAGCATGGGAGGGTGAGGGAATGGGGGGATGGATATGTAAATAAGAGCATTTCTAAAAAAAATTAAAAAACAATGGCAAACTGAAGAGATTATGTGATTGGTTGACCTGGGCGAGTGCTGCAAGAATTCCTAAGGTATACAACTTACGGCGGGAAGGGTTACAAATCAGAAAATGTAACAAAATCAGATTCTGAACCTCAGTAATGCAAATGGATCTTTGAATTGATATAAGGTCCTTAGGAATGGGAAAAATCGTAAAGCCAGCCTTCTGTCAATTGCCAGAGAACGGGAGTTGCAATGCAATGCTGTGCCTCTGTAGCCTGTAAGACTGGGTAGGGTACATAAGGTTACTCTCACCTTACAGAGAACCTTAGCCATTTCAAAAGTCCCCACGGTATCCATGTTGGCAGCAATGATGGGAATGCCATTGTATATCTGTTTTGAGTTCCGGAATGAGAAGGACCTTGTGAGATCTACCTGTAGACACCAACAGCACATTAAAGCATTTCATGCATTCAGAAAATATGAATCACATTAGAACCGGGCAGCTTTCTTGATGCTGGTCCACCAGATGTCTGGGGTCAAAAAAGCAAGAAGACAGCTGGCTCACCTCACTTCGAGACTTAAGGGTGCTGCGTTTGGGCCTCAACAGGACATCCTTGAAGTCTAGTTTCACGTCATTGTCAATATGAGGCATGGTGCAGGGCTGCGGCTAGATAAAAATGTGAAGGCTGTGACACTAGGAGGTACCAAGTAAAGAACGGAACCAAGTCCCCAGTGGGCCTTAATGTCTTGATGGCGCTAGGACAAGAGTCACCTCTCGCGTTGAAACTGTAAACCATGTCAGGGTGTGGTCCTTGAAGCGTCACTGCGACCTTCCAGGGTCTGGATTACCCAAACGCTTCCCAAGTACCGTTAGGCAGAACAGGGAAGAGATTATGATCTCTGAAGATGCGTTCCTTACCCGGCTAATCTTCCTTCTCCTGCCCCAGCACAGGGCAATTTAGAGTAAGAAACTGACTTTGTCGGGGAGGAGAAAAGAGACTTCAATCCGCTTCCGGGATGGGGGTACTCACTTCCTGTTGCTCTGACTCGGGTGGCAGTTGACCAAAGATTCTTTTGCTTAGCAACTAGCCGCGTGCAGCTCGGATGAGTCTTCGGGGCAACACCAACAAGTTCCGCTAATTGCCAGCCCGACTACCCAAGGAAGTCCTGCTTCGGGAGCTGTGCAAAGCCTTCTGGGTAACAGAGTCCACACCCTGAGCTTGCCGTTGGGTGCGAGCGGCGGGAGGACTACAACTCCTAGGATGCAAAGGTCGGGGCTGCCTCCTGGCACGATGGGAAAAGTAGTTTGTTCTGCTCCAGCTCGCCGCTAACCCCAGCTCGCTGGGCACGTGCGGCGTCTCAGGGCGTCGTCCGTGCGGTTCCTACGCCGTGCGGCCTTCTTCTCTACAACGCCGCTGACACGAAACACGAGGGCGTCCCTGAGCCTTTCGGGAACCGGGTGGAAAGAGCAGAGGGTGGACCCGGACAGTGACCCGGAAGCACAAGTGTTCCTAGCCGGGGAGTGCTGGGAAGCGGCAGCGGCGACCACAGCGGGAGAAGCAGCACTCTAGCCGCCTGCAGCCCCAACCTGGGAGGAAGAT